GGGGTATAAATACCTGGAAAGGTGGGGGGGGGGTGGTGCTTGCTTAACTAAGAGGGTTGTTGTCAAACATGAAGTAAAAACATTTCATTTCACTCTGACAATCCAAACTTTTTGCATCTACTGTTTATGATTAATAACGATAAAAATTACCTTTATAAGTTTAATAAAAATGTAATCAAGATTATAAGTTTAATAAAAAAAATGTTCAGCTTTTTCTAACCAGTTAGGATGTAAACAGTCTGAAAATAAATGTATGTAAGTCTATTATTTTTTTATGGTGAGATTCTTTAAAAATACAACAAGCTATATTAGCTATATATAGATTAAGATATTTTTAAAGTCCAAAATAAGGTGAAAATTTAATTGCTCATGAGGATAGACATTAAAAAAACAAGAAGAAAAACGATAATAATTTTTTACGGACGCTTTAAATAAAGGTTTTTCATTTTAAAATTAAAAAAAAATATTATTTCCCTTTTATTTAATTCCTTGTTGATTAACTGAGACCCGTTGCTAAATAAATGTAGATAGATCTAGGCTTAAAACTGTAGATATTAATAACGTGTGGTAAAGTAAACATTAATTAATGTCTGGCTTGTAAGAAAAGACTGCATTTTCTTCGAAATCGATAATAAATGTAGGCAATTAATACAATTTAAGCAGTGTCTGAACTAGAAAAAGCCCCCCCCCCCACAATATATATATATATATATATATATATATATATATATATATATATATATATATATATATATATATATATCTGTCTCACAAAATTTAATTATTATACCATTTCCTAATATAGTAATTTAATGCATTTTAATGTATTTTATTACAAAGTATATCCATCGTGAAACTACAAATCACACCAAAATATGTGTAAGTGGCGATCATCGCGAGGTGATTGACACAGTTTGTTTTTATGCACTGTGTTCTGTCAAAATGGCCCGGGAAAAAACGGCCCGGTCAAAACGGTCCCGTCAATATGACCCCGACAAATGGGCTTCCTTCACATTAACTCGCGATATATAAGCTCTGGGGTTATCCATAAATGACGTCACGCTTTTTATGAAGATTGAATATTTTTACCCCCCCCCCTCCCTTCAGTCACACATCGTCACAAAAAAGCCAGAGCCCCCCCCCCTTAAATGAAGTCACACCTCAGCCTACACCCCCTGCCTCAAAATTGCTGTTGAATTTTTATTAAAACATCGAACATTTTCCAAAATCTTGTCTGAACCCTGTCAAAATGGAGAATTTTAATCAATTCATATTACAATTAAAACAGTTTTCTAAAACGCGAAATAACGTCTAAAATTCGTTTTCTAACATTGCTTTTTTATAATTTAAATGCCTGAATGAAAAAACTTATGTTAACCTAAAAATCAAACTTGTTTACTCACAGTTCAATAAATGCATTTTCACATACCAGGCGATACAATGGTTTACAGGGTTACAAGATATGAAACGTATAATCATTTTCTATCATCACTCTACACACTTTCAGTACCGGTACTCACAAACTACTCAGCCAGACATACAGCGACATGACAGAACAGAGGTTGGGGCTGCCAGAGTTTATTCCAGGCATATCTTCGGAGGGGTCTACCCCCCCCCCCCCCCCGAGCGAAATGAAATTTGTATAGAAAATATGTATTTTTAACAGTGTCCGTCACCCCCGAAGAAAGTCTACCGCCCCCCCCCCCCCCGAAAATTTCAAGTGCCCCCCCCCCCCCCCCCCCGGAGAAAAAGTCTGGAAGAAACACTGGGGGCTGCTGCCCCGGGCGCCGACCCCAAGGGGGTGCCGAAAGGGATAGAAAAATTAGGTTAAAAGCTTTTCATAGACAGAAATAACTATATATATAAATGGGATGGAGGGGGCGAAAAATTGATAATCCGCCCTCTTCCCCCCCCCCCCGGCGACGGAATAGATCGCAACGCCTCTGGACAGGAACGGGCAACAACAGCTTATCGCCGACCGCCTCAGGTTGACTGGACAGCATCTTGCCGACAGCTACGGCAGCAGCATCTCTCAGACAGTCACTGGACAGTTCGCCGATGACAGATACCGGACAGCGTTTCACAGGACAGGCACAAGACAGCATAACATCAGGCCACTTGTCCACGACTACAGCTTGGCCAACAACAGCGGCCCGCCTTCGTGGCCAGCCTTACCACACTAAAACACGTCAAGCCTACCTAGTTCTCAACTGTCTCCTCCGTTTCATCGCGGGTTGTGAGTCTTTGTGATCTTGGGTGAATGGAGAAATATGTGTGTGGGGTGGGGTGGGGTGGGGGAGAGGGGGAGCACAATACGTTCATGTCGGGTCGCATCTGACTTGCTAATTAGGCCAGGCTAGAAGAAGGCGGAGGGGCATTAAATAACCACTAGTCTATCAAGATGCAAAAAAAAATATTTTGTTGTTTTTGGTAGGATTTTGGATCCCTAAATGGGCCAACCTCCCCCCCCCCCCCCCCACACACACCCTCACTTTGCGCGATCTTTGAGTATGGTAGCTCACTATATTGCTTTACATTCACTCCCACAATTTACAAAAGACTATAAACTATATGATTTTATTCTACGCCGTGACAGAGAAAATAATTGTCACAACATGTTTTATTTTTCACATTTCAAGATAAGGATGTTGGGCCTATCCTTTTTATAACTTAACACATAAACCTGATTATAGACAGTGTGTAAGAACTGAGTGATCAACTAGGACGAACTAGCTACTGACAACTAAGGTAAGTTAAATTTAAACCCATTTATATATCTATGTGGGTAAATATATATATATATATATATATATATATATATATATATATATATATATATATATATATATATATATATATATATATATATATATATATATATATATATATATAATATATATATATATATATATATATATATATATATATATATATATATATATATATATATATATATATATATATATATATAGTTATATGCCTATTTGTATAAAGCCCTAAATAAATGTAAGTCTATTGCCTTCGTTAGTCTTTCTTCTTTTGGGTTTTCCTTTTAGGCCTGAAACTTTAGGGGGAGGGGGGGGGGGGGGGACACTGGTAAAATTGTGGGAGAGGGCGCTAGACGTGCTTCGGGTCCCCCCTCCCCGAGAAAAAAAAGTCTGAAAGAAGCACTGCTCCGTTTCTACTTAAATTTATTTATCCTACATCGAATTATTAACTCGCTTGAAAATATCTTAATTTAATTTTTTTTTTTAAGAAAACATGTTCGGACTAGTCTTGATTTCGCTGACGGTTGGTTTATCGTCTGCTATCGTGTGTCTGCCAAGCTTCTGCGACAACATCGTCCAGCCTGTGCTGGACTGCAAGGGTAGCGTCATTGAACATTCGGGGTTCTGTGGGTGCTACAAGATGTGCGCCAAGGTAATCTTTTTAAACGTCTGACCTTCTGAACTCAAGACTTTACTCACGTCTTACAGTTCTATTATTGTTCAGCTCATTTGTGAGAACAGAGGCGTCGCGAGGCGGGGGGTGCAAACAGCACCAGGTGACACCATTTAGGGGGGGGGTGACACCAAGGCAAAAAAATGCAAAATATATAAAATAAATGTACTTTTCGTCATTTCAATGAATGGTTAATTAGGTTTAAAAAGTATGTAAGTACAAATTGACGATCGCACCGGGTGATACCCGACCTAGCGACGCCACTGGGTGAGAATAGTTTCAGAATTCGTCACGTATTTAAAATCATATAGACATGGTCATTTTATTGATACGGTTCAGATTATGTAGGAGGCGGAATAAACATTAACATTAGTGTTGATGCCTTGATATATTAGTTGCCATCTCACGTACGCACGGTGTTTCTGGCGGTCCATGGTGCAAGTGAAGTAGAGTTTACCTGTTTCTGCGACCTCGGATAGTGTGGTCAACACTATGCGCAGCCGCCTTTACTTTCCCCAACATGAGTTCGGTACCCATCAGAGCTGGGTGGACTCAGGGACTTCGAACTTTCGAGTTAGCAGTCTATTGTTTTACCGCTAAGTGACGCCGTCCCATCGTACAAGGCTACACCGATTTTAAAACGACATTTTCACTTCTTGTATTTAGGTTGAGGGTGAGTCATGTTCTTTAGCCCTGCCGCTCCTGGGTGTACCCAGCACAGATGTTTGCGACCAGGGGCTCGACTGTGTCCCCAGTGCAACAGACGGTGTGGCACAAAGTTTCACCTGTGTTAGAAAGGCAAAGAGAGCGTGTAAGTAGTGCCTAGCACTTTTTTTTCAATGTTAGGCCTTACCAGAGTTTCTTCCAGGCATCTCTTCGGGGGGGCAAAGCCCCCCCCCCCCCCGAAATTTTTTTACCGCCCCCCCCGAACGAAATGAAATTTATATAATTTATATAGAAAATATATACTTTTAACAGTGTCCGCCCCCCCGAAGAAAGTTTACCGCCCCCCCGAAGATTTCAAGTGCCCCCCCCCCCGGAGAAAAAAGTCTGGAAGAAACACTGGGCCTTACATTTGTGTAGGCCTATATTAAATTATATGGATGGAAGGGGCTTACATGTAGAGCGCTAGACTGCAAACCCGAAAGTCGAGTTTTGATCCCAGGCTCGAGTCCCTGAGCCTACCCAGCTGTAATTGGTACCTGATTTACGTAAGGAAAACAAAGGCGGATGGGCAAATTGCTGACCACACAATTCAATGATATGACGAGGTCAAGAGACATATGAACTCTACTTCATCTGCCTCGTGGATCTTTATGTCTGAAAGGGGGACTTTACTTTATATTATAGATTACATTTTTATTTTTTTGCAACTTAACTCAGGATACCTTTAACCCCCAATACTTTTAGTTAAACTAAAACTTTTAACTCCTGATTTGTGTGTTAGCCACAGTAACCCACTGTGTGACGGAGTGCCAAAGAAAATCTCTGATGTGCTCCATTTCCATGGCCATCTATGAAGGACAGTGGTTCGCAAACTGTGACCAGGAAGGGAACTTCTTACCAGAGCAGTGTGACAATACAAGTAAGATGTTGTTAGTTGTTACTTTATTAACATAACCACACTATAAAACAGTGGCGTAGCGAGGTCGGGTGTCACCCGGTGCGGCTTTTAATGGCGTCACCCCCCAGAGGCGTAGCGACCCTTCCCGGGGACAAACTTTCAAATTTTCGAATTGCACCCCCTCTCAAACTTTCGATTTGCACCCCCCCCTCCTCAAACTTTTGATTGCACCCCCCTCCTCAAACTTTTGATTTGCAACTCCCCCTTCAAACTTTCGATTTGCAACCCCTCAAGTTTTTTCTCTATATTTTTTTTGTTATTTTTTGCTTTGATGTCACCCCCCCCCCCCCTAAATGGTGTCACCCGGTGCGGTCCGCACCTCCCCCCCCCCCGCTACGCCTCTGCTATAAAATATTAATTTATTCTGATCATTGTTTGGTTGCTTGTTATTCCGTAATTTCCGACTTTTTGTGGCTCTTTTGCCCGTTCAGATCTAATAATTTCACAGCATTAATGTAGGAGATCTGTTATAAAAATATTTTTTGTTTTACTTTCCCGTACAAAGTTCAGAGAAAGTATTATAATCGTGCAAAAAATGAAAAAAAAATATTTTTCGCAGTTATATAGGCCCTACCTCCCTATTTTATGTGGAGTATTTCATATATAAGATCGTATACTTGGATTACTCTCAAATTTTGAGTGACCTCCGATATACGGTATCAATATTTAATTCCAGTTTCTAAAATAACAATCACATAAGTACCGCTCATAGGTTTCTTTTGATCCGTTCAAAGTTTCTGGTGACCGTAAATAGTATTTTCCGGTGTTTCGATTTCTTAAAAAAATAAATAATAGAATTTGATAATTTTACATCGATTTTGGTGCGTAATTCCTTTTTTTCTTCTCGATTCTATTTTATTTAGTGTAAGAGAGTTAAAAATTAATGCTTTATTAAGGAGAATTATGCTCTAATTCCGATTTATCATTTCCTCCAGAATTTGATTATTCTCATAAGGCATGAAAAACGATGGTTTTGTCACTAACTTTAATATGTCTATGAATATACAGGAACGTTTATGGGAAAACTCCCCTGCTTTATTTTACTACATTTTTAAAAAAAATCAGTCGAATACTAAATCAATGTATTATTTTCAAAACAGATCATTGCTTTTGTGTGGATCGCTTGACTGGTGCTATTCAAGATGGAACTAAAGTACTTGGAAGTGCTAACTGCTCAGGATTAGACATTTTGTAATATAAATGTACAGAATGTTTAAATAAAAAGTTCTTGTTTATACTAATGTTCTTCCATTCATTTTAAATTATTCCAAGTTCATGAATAATAAATAAACAAACACATAAATATGTCTAATGAATAATTATAGGCGTATATATTTTTAAAATGACGCAAATGAGATTAAGTCTAGTAAACGGCTCAAATAGCAGAAAGAGAGGTTTCTTTTAAACATTTTATCCGGTTTGTGTGTGTGTGTGTGTGTGCGGGGGGGGGGGTGTCTTGAAACTTCCGGCGCACACTTCAAACTCACCCCACACCCGGCATAGGCCAACAGCATTTGCCTGTTGAAAAACAGTGATCTCAGTTCTCAGATATGTTTCTCTACTAAAACAAGAGAAGCTGCTGCGTTTATGATTTAGCACAATAAAAAATGTCGGCACTGAATTAAAATCTACAATTGGCCTCCAGTCTTGCCAAGATTAGGAGTATAGCAGTGTTTCAGACTTTTTTCTCCGGGGGGGGGGGGGGGGGGGGGGGCGGTCAACATTTTTCGGGGGGGGGGGGGGGCACTAGTAAAAGCGTATGTTTATTATATAAAATCCATCTCGTTCGGGGGGGGGGGGGGTAGACTTTCTTCGGGGGAGGGGGGACTCCCCCCGAAGAGATGCCTGGAAGAAACTCTGGCGTGTAGTTACACTATAACCATAGATCAAAGCTTCCTATCGCTAACCTTTGTGGCTTAGCTAGAAGTCAGCTTAGTGATACAATTTATTTATTTCGGGGGCGGGGAGACACCATAGGGTGCCGCGTCAGATGACACCCGACCTTACTACGCCACTGCGTCTGTGTCTGTTTTGCTGTCCTTTTCTTTGCCATTGGTAGGCACACTTGTTACATTTTCATTTTAAAATGTAATATTTTATTTTGTGTTAAATAGGCCTAAAGATAATAAAATTTCTAAGCCAGTTGTAAAAATTATAGGCTGGGTTATATTTAACATCTGCATTATGTTAGACCGTCACCACACGTTATAGATCTCTATAGGTCTTCACACAATAATAAACAAATAATAAATGCCCATCCCCACCTCTTTAATGCCAACTTTTGCACAAAATTAAAGTTAATTTAAAGTATAAAGGCTTTATAATAATACGGTTCCCAGAAAGAACCGCAACGGAAAAAAGCGCAACGGAAAAAAGCGCAAAACAAAAAGCGCAACGGAAAAAAGCGCACACGGAAAAAAGCGCAAAGAGAAAAAAGCGCACACAGAAAAAAGCGCAAAGAGAAAAAAGCGCAAACAGAAAAAAGCGCAAAGAGAAAAAAGCGCACACAGAAAAAAGCGCAAACAGAAAAAAGCGCAAACGGAAAAAAGCGCAAACAGAAAAAAGCGCAAACGGACAAAAGCGCAAACGGAAAAAAGCGCAAACGGAAAAAAGCGCAAACAGAAAAAAGCGCAAACAGAAAAAAGCGCACACAGAAAAAAGCGCAAACAGAAAAAAGCGCAAACGGAAAAAAGCGCAAACAGAAAAAAGCGCACACAGAAAAAAGCGCAAACGGAAAAAAGCGCAAACAGAAACAGAAAAATGCGCAACCAGAAAAAAAACAACGAAAAATGTGCAAAAGAGAAATTTTGCACAAAGACCATATGGACTAGATGACACATTTATACATGACTGTTAGGGCTGCTGTGAGAGTGTCGTGTTTGATCACGTGATCTACTACCATTTAAAGCGTACCACTACCATCTGCATTCCCATCACCACGATACAGGCGATAATCACTTTACACAATGCCTATTATTTTCTTGGTCAATAATTATTCAACTACTATTCTCGTATAAACATAAAACTATCGACATTATACGAAGTATCATTCACATTCTCCCTAGTCCGAACTACCTAGCTTGCATACCATAACAACCCGTTCCTATGGCAAAACTTCACTCTCTTTCATCCGCGTCATCAAACATGCATTCGTCATATCTCTCGTAACAACATTCATTCGCACCAAAATAACAATTTTGTATTTAAAATTTTTTCACATCATAACCCACCTACCCACCTACCTACCTACCTACCTAACTACCTAACTACCCACTTACCCACCTACCCACCTACCCGCCTACATACTTACCAAACTACTCACCAAAAAAGTATCGGCGAAGTTGGTAAGTTTCGTAAGCTGTACTAGACATCTTTTTTTTTAATGAAAATTCATTGACATCATTGACATATGTTACATATATGTTACATTTTGCGACAACCTTAATTAGTGCGTTGGGCTTGTATGAAAACTCACTTCGAACTAACTCAATTACAAGCTATTTATTTTAACATTACACGGTAAGCGTCACCCAACTGTTGTGATGTGAGGTGAGGAAAGGTTCGACAATAAACCAACACGAAAGTACGAAAGAGACATAGACTGCCTATTAGAGAATGGACCCCTTAACTTTCCTAACCCTAACATTTATTATACCCTACCTAACCTCTAAATTTCTTGCGCTAAATGTCACTTCCCTCCCAATCGTTCCTATTTTACAGAATTGTGTATACTATTTATTTACATTCTTTAATCTCAATATAACTAAAAAAGACTTGTTTGAAGGGTAATGAAAACATGTAAACAAAAGGGACGCTACTCTAAATCTATGCGAATACTTATATGCAGTGGCGTAGGCAGGGGGGGGTTAGGGGGGTCACAACCCCCCCATAGACCCCTCGGTATGTATGTATATATATATATATATATATATATATATATATATATATATATATATATATATATATATATATATATATATATATATATTCGGACTAGGGAGAATGTGAATGATACTTCGTATAATGTCGATAGTTTTATGTTTATACGAGAATAGTAGTTGAATAATTATTGACCAAGAAAATAATAGGCATTGTGTAAAGTGATTATCGCCTGTATCGTGGTGATGGGAATGCAGATGGTAGTGGTACGCTTTAAATGGTAGTAGATCACGTGATCAAACACGACACTCTCACAGCAGCCCTAACAGTCATGTATAAATGTGTCATCTAGTCCATATGGTCTTTGTGCAAAATTTCTCTTTTGCACATTTTTCGTTGTTTTTTTTTCTGGTTGCGCATTTTTCTGTTTCTGTTTGCGCTTTTTTCCGTTTGCGCTTTTTTCTGTGTGCGCTTTTTTCTGTTTGCGCTTTTTTCCGTTTGCGCTTTTTTCTGTTTGCGCTTTTTTTCTGTGTGCGCTTTTTCTGTTTGCGCTTTTTTCCGTTTGCGCTTTTTTCTGTTTGCGCTTTTTTCCGTTTGCGCTTTTTTCCGTTTGCGCTTTTTTCCGTGTGCGCTTTTTTCTCTTTGCGCTTTTTTTCCGTTTGCGCTTTTTTCTGTTTGCGCTTTTTTCCGTTTGCGCTTTTTTCTGTTTGCGCTTTTTTCTGTGTGCGCTTTTTTCTCTTTGCGCTTTTTTCTGTTTGCGCTTTTTTTCTCTTAGCGCTTTTTTCCGTGTGCGCTTTTTTCTGTTTGCGCTTTTTTCCGTTTGCGCTTTTTTCTGTTTGCGCTTTTTTCTGTGTGCGCTTTTTTCTCTTTGCGCTTTTTTCTGTTTGCGCTTTTTTCTCTTTGCGCTTTTTTCTGTGTGCGCTTTTTTCTGTTTGCGCTTTTTTCCGTGTGCGCTTTTTTCCGTTGCGCTTTTTGTTTTGCGCTTTTTTCTGTTGCGCTTTTTTCCGTTGCGGTTCTTTCCGGCCACCAATAATACATAGGTCTATATTAGGTTAAAAATAATTTCGATGTAATGGCATGTACTGTTTGAAATATGTGCACTTCCGCTTCGATATTACGGGCTCCGCTCAAAGGGAGATAACCCATTGTAAAAAACACACAAGATGGCTGCTGTTGTCTTAAAAAACTAATCTAATAAAATCATTTTACTAGAGATTAACTAACTAGTAACGTAACACTGATTAACTAACTACTAGGCCTACATTCGTAAATGCTGATTACTAGTTGATATTTTACGAGGGTATTTAATAATCTGTACCTATTGTCTATTCATCAGGTACTGTGAACTATGACAGTTGACAGTGACGACAGTCAGTGTCATAAATCTCGAATGTCAATCAAATGAGTGTATGAATCAGTATGATGATCATATGAAGAGTATGAGTCTCACTGACTGTACTGTGTGATCAGTGTGTGTCAGTTTTGTGTAAAGTCACAGTGAAGTGTATTACTATTACGATCTAAATCTTTATCGACTAGATCTAGTTCTAAACGTTCTAAAATATAGATCTAGATCTAAATCTAGATTTCTAGATTTAGGCCTACTGATTTAGACCTATTTTCAATTTTCAAGTATTTTCAACATTTTGTATTGGTTGGTTGAAGTTGAAGTTCATTCAGTAACTGTACATACATTGTTACTGTACATCATTGTACACTACATTCTGTGTCTGTACCTGTACTGTTCCTGTTACTGACTGTTGTTACTCATTAGTATGAGTATCGTCCGTTACTGTGAGCGTGTATTGCAGATAGATACCCTAATAAATGCTTAATACTAAAAATAATAGGCCTATAATATTATAATAATGATATCTAGACCTGCATGACAGTATGATTATTTTCAAATTTTGACATGATGACCACATGACATTCAGATTCCCCCCCTATATCATATGTCATTCAGACATTTATAAATTATAAATATCAGGCGAAATAGCATGTCTGTTTTAATAAAGGGAAAATATAATATTTTGATAATAGGGGGCCTACAATTTGTGTCTAAGGGAAAAAGGCATCTAATGGGTTTGAACACACGCCTTCCAGCACTACATTAAATCTAACAGAAACAGAATTGACTGTGAATAGCCCTAATACTATACGTTTATTCCCAGTCGACTGGGAATAGACACTTCATTAAAAATATAAGCCTAATGCCCTTTAACATTATTTTAAAAATGCAAACACTTGTAAATTAAAGGAACAGTACCCATATCTAAAGTATTATACCAACATTATAATTTATATTATTACATGTTTTTCTAGAACTAGAAAATAGATAACCATCCTAACTAATTGCCATTTTTTTAAAAGGACTTGTAAATAAGTAATTGCAAGGTAAAAAATGGCTCTGTCAGTGGAGAAATTACTGACAGATGCTCACACACTCATCATACACTTAAAGGACCATGATAACCTCACCGACAGCATAATTGCATCTACACATTCGCTGTATAACAAAGTGGAGGCTATGAAACAGGTTGGTACATTTGTAATGATATTGATGATTTTATTTTATCTATCTACAGTGAATTCTTTTCACTTATTTTTTTAAACTGCTGATACTTCTTCTAAAATGTAGGTGTTAGTTTGTCTGTAGTAAAATAATACTGGTTTAGGTAATTACTAATAGTTAAAATTAGAAACTAATTTTAGTTAGCAGTTTAGTTTGTTACTAACAACCTAATACCACAATTTAAAAAAAAAGAAGAAAAAACAGATGACTGGTAGAGATCCAGGTGGTGTACATAGCAATAGCATTAGTACATCATAGCTTTAACATTAATCACCAACTTCTGGTCAATAAACCCCCCTTTGTATCACTGCCTCTTGTAACAATGTTGAATCAATGATTTCAGTATATGTAACGTTATATTAATACATGTTTAGTACCAGGATGACATTACAGAGCTGAATGAAATAGCTAAACACAGGCCAAGATCAACTTTAGTGTTAGGGATTGCCCAAGAAAACCGGCAGATTCGTGAGCTACAACAGGAAAACAGAGAACTTCAAGCAACACTAGAGGAGCACCAGTCAGCCCTGGAGCTTATCATGCAGAAGTACAGGGAGCATACAGTCAAACTCCTTCAGAGTAATAGATTAGAAAAGGCTATTCAAGAGAAAGATGTTGTAGATAAGGTAATGTTAGAAGTTGTGTTATGCTATTATTACATAAGGTTTTTCCAAGATTGAACCAACATATCTAGCAGTGTTGTGGGAATTATTGGGATGTGTGTGCTACATTGGGGAGGGCAGCTTAAGAAACTTGAAGTATGTAAAAAATATTTCACATGTGTTAAAAATAAAAAAAAAAATGATGAAAATAAATTAATAAGATATTTTCCCTTAGGATTATGGTTAATTCAGGAGGGGGGGGGGGTATTTTATGACATGACATGGGGTTATGGATTTTAAAATTGCAGGACATAATTTCTCAATGACCCCAATAACACTTGTTTAACTCGGGTATAATGATGTGTTGCTTTAATGATCCTTAGGATTCTGTGAGTCATCTGATGGATAAAATTGATGAAATGGCTGGTGTCATGCAGAAAGCTATCGAGGTAAAAAAAAGGAGTTGAGTTATGAAATATCTAAAGAGCAGTATTAATCTACTATTTTGCTAACATTTGTATAAATGCTATATTTATTCATTTTAAATAGTTTATTTTACACCAACCTAGCACTAAAATAATCCATAATATTGATTTAACACTATTTTAGTAATGACCAATAGTTTTATTGATGATTTATAAATGGTAGATTCTTTTACTTTTTAAAAAATAATTACGTTTTCTTATTTTTAATTTTCTAGGTAGATGAGAATGTGGGCTGCGCAGAAAAAGAACGACTTTCTCGCCTTGAGCTTGAGAACAAAGCCTTGCGAGAACTCCTGGAAATCTGCACCACTAGTAAAGAAAAAATTATCCACACAGAACCCAAGTTTGAGATCAAGAAAGAGGAGGAGGTTGATGATGATGATGAAACTACTGACACTGAAGGTGATTCTTCCGTCCTCCTTGCACCCGATAAAACTGAGGAACCAGACAAAAAAGAGACCCCTGATAAAAAGAAACCTGTGGGTGGGAGTAGAGAAACAACGCCAACGGGCTCGGGAACTAAAGCTGTCGGAGCTAGCAAGTCTGCGGGGGATATAAGGAAAGGTAAGACGAGCCCCACAATTGTGTCACCAACGGTCAAGAAAGCCACATCTGTTACTGGTATCAAGAAGGACAATGTGGTGAAGAAAAGCCCATCCATTGAAGCCAAGAAAGACTTAAAACCCAAGACTGTGGTTAAAACAGTCACTAAAAAATAACTCTTAAACATTCATATTTTACCTAATATTGGATTCCGTAACTAATTGAAGAAATGATACTGACGCTTTCAAATGCAGTTGTTTTCGCTTACTGTTGGATTAATTTTTCTTTTATATTTAAAAAGTGTACTGTACTGGTAGTCTCTGGTTGCATTGTGTTTCTCATCTCAGGGTTGCAGGTAATTATATTGGGGTGGTAGGTGATTATATTAGGGTTGCAGGTATTTATATTGGGGTTGGTAGAGTCCTCCAACAACATACAACTACTATAAAAGTACGCTATCAAACACTGCTAGTCCTTAATATTGTTGGAAGTGTAGTAAAATCTTCATTTCAATTTTTAAAAGCCTGTAAATTTAAAAAAACGTGATAACCTTTAATAAAAAGTACTTGTGGAAGTATAAATGTAGAGGGTTTACTATGAGTTTTTAAAATATTTGTCACATATTTATTTATCAGCCATGTTACTAGTTAGGCCTAGGGATAAAGGTTTTTCTGGTCTACAAATATTTACTTTACTGCTTACATAAATTATACATATGAATATGATGCCACACACTAGATAGTCATGAGAATGTAGCTAGAGAAGTATGCAGTAATACTTCTACCAAACTTATGTGATCTATGTACTTGAGTGCCCAGTGTGTTCAACATTAAAATGTTACTGAGACATTGTAGGCTTTATATAAAGATGATCTAGAATCAACTAAAAATTGGAACATTGTTGATCATGCTATGGAGTTATTCCATTTTTCTAAACCAGCATGCAATTTAATTATAAAATTGTGTGCATTGATTTTAGTTCTCAAGCATTAGTGAATTTGTAATTATATAACTACTGGGGTGTGGTAAAGTGCACCACTGCTAACCCACAAGTCTCTAGTTGGGTTCCCAGACTAGTTAAGGCATCTCTGAGTCTGCTCAGCTCTGATGGGTTCCTAACTCAGGTTAGGGAAAGTAAAGGCATTTGGTACTAGAACTGACCACATTATCTTTAATGTGTTTACTTTTAATTAAAAAAATATGCATGGTTTTGGACAATTAAATATATTTTTCTGTTAAGTAGTTTTACATTTCACAAATATAAAATGTAGTGTTTTATCAATAGACAAAAACTAATGTAAACCTAAAATCCATGTTAATAACGCATTCTATATTGCTAGGTCAGGTATTGTGATAAAAAAAAAAAACCAACACATTTTTTTAATGCAATGTTTAATGGTATGATCCAGATAATGTAACAACTTTTTGTGAGAATTATTTTGTAAATATTTCAAAATATCACAAGAATCACAAAAACTGATCTATAATTACCACTGTATTATAAGCTGTTCTCTTGACTTTTATTTATTAAATACATTTTTTTACCCAATTCATATTTGTTTATTTTCAATATTTTCATCTAACATTTTATTAGAAAAAGGTAAAAAGTGGATGTAGAAAATCCTCGTGCTAAAATTAAATGTGTCAAATTATTAATTTAAAAAATAGGATACATCTGATGAAAGTTCGGTATATGAATTTATTTGACACTTCTTTTTTCCTAATTTATGAATGAAAGACAAATCTTTACTAACAATTTGTTCGATTAGGTAACAACAGGTGGGTGATATACATCCAGTGTTTACACAGCTAACATTAACATAAGTATTTCAGCAACAAACATTTGGTAAATTCTGAGAGATTTATAGATCTCCAAAACAAGAAAGTTTCTTACATATAACTTCATTAAAAGTGTAAATTAGTCAGGTGCTAGTTAATTTTAAAGATAATAAAGTAATAATGTTATCTATCAAAGGAACATGAGTATTTTAAAACTGTACATTAAACAAAAATAAATACACCGAAATGATGAAGAGTGGTTGGTTAAAAAATAAATTTAACAAAGCATACATTGACATAATTATGTTTTATCCTATATACTGATTCTTTGCTATATTTTAAAGAATAAAAACTTTTTAGATGATCAGGATTATGCAACAGATTATGCAATATCAACACTTGAACAATTAGGTGCACCAAAAGAAATGTATCCATATAATTTATATACATGTTGATATTGCGTTTAATGTCATGGTTAAAGATTGGATATAGATACATTTTTTTATCTGAGTTATATTGGTTTCATTAAAACTTGACACAAGTAATTATTCAGCTTTTGACCTCAGCAAACAAGTACCATTGTACTTTAAGTTGTGTAAAAAATAAGGCAGAGATTTGTCAGAGTGTTACATCCACAATTGGTTACAAAGATAGAACTTTAATGTTAACACCACACAACTGAATTGGTGAATTGGTACATTATGCACAATTTAGAATATAAATCCCAGACTGGTGAAAGAAATTTTTTTTTTCAACAACTGATCATAATTCAGCATGATATATTAAAGATATAAAAATATAAGAAGATACTTTCTGGTACTTGATATATAAAACACTTTAAAACAGCGGTTGTTTATTCCCTACTGCAATCATTTGTTAATGTTTTTTTTAGTTTTTTTATGTATAGATTAATTACTATTTTGCTTAATTTTATCTAATAAGTTATCTACACAAGAAATAAAATATTAATATAACAGAAAACCCTCCTAAATTACAATCAAATAACAATCAAATTTATGGTACAAAAAATGGCAACAGTGTACAATGATACAAAATAATGTAGTTACCACAGAAACTTTTAGATTAATAATATACAAACTTTAGGGATAACTGCAATTCTCAAATTAATCTTACCAAAGTCAGCATTTTTCCATCTGTGCATGAAATAATGTATCTCCATCATTCACATGTTAGGTCAGCAAGTTTTTTTCACGCTGACCCTGGCTTGAACCTTGTGAGTTTTCATCAGCAGTTCCGTACGCTCGCCCGCCTGATCCTAACAGCTTCCTCCTCTCATCTGCCACGCTGGAACCGGTACTGGTGTTGTTTCTCTCTTCATCTTCAGCATCATACGAGTACTGGTTCGGGACTTGCTCAAGTGTGTGGGATCCTCTTCGCCACACATTAAAAGCTGGCTTGCCTTTTGCTTGCCTCCACTGTAAGCAGAACGAGGCCAGAACCAGAACAGGCCAGAGAACTGTCAGAACGATGTCTGTGGAATAACAAAATTGTATTTGGTTAAGGTTGTTGAAGTTTCTTTCGTTAGTTCTATAGTTACATACAGTATTTTCATTATTTATTTTTGCTGATATTGTTAACCAAAACAGTAAAAAAAAAGGCATTAATGAAAGACAATTTTGTTAGTCTTAGTGCATTAAAATAATACTATTAACATTTGCATAGTTTGGACAATTGTAACTAATTCCAGTTAAATAATGGAATTAAAGTAAAAAAAAGTATACCATTTAATTTAAAAAAATATATATTATAATTACGTGGTTTGTATTAAAGGAAACATTTTTAAAAACAAGTCAAGTTAAAAAAAAGTATAATTACCAAGTGTGTAGTAAGGAAAAACAACTTTTACATCTAAATAATTGGATTGTGTTTGATGATAAATAGAATTTAGGAATATCAGTTTCAAACTGGATTGAAATGGGATGGCTATTGACAAGAGCAGCATAAATGCACCAACTAGTGCACAGGATAGTATGCTCAACTGTATAGAAAAAGATGCAAACAATTATATTTAAAAAAAACCAACTTGTATATCTATAAATAAAATTCTATTCAGTTTTTAAAATCCTGGCACAAAGGATGGTTAAAGAAAAGTACTCAAAGAAACTTCAAACAATTACAATGTTTATTGCAATTTTCATAATTTGTTGAATCTTTGGTTGAATATCCTAAAACAGAATTAATCTGGTAACTTTTTAAGGCCATATTTTTTTTTAAAAAACATGTTTTAGATAAATAAGAAACCCCCCCAAAAAATAACTATGTGTTTTATGAAACCCTGCTTACCACTTTAGTAAAAGCCATAAGACCAACTGTAAAAATCAGAATGACACAAGTAAAACCCATGCCATAGTTTAATTCTGTAAGCCACCAGTCAATGTTAGCTGTAAGAGAATTAAATTTTATCAATATTACAGTATACAAGAGTTCAATCAATATTATAGTATCAAGAATACAATCAATATTATAGTATCGAGAATTCAATCAATATTATAGTATCAAGAAATTCAATCAATATTATAGTATCGAGAATTCAATCAATATTATAGAATCAACAATTCACATGAATAGCCAAAAATAGTTGCTTGTATCAGATAATGTTTAAATATATTCCACAGGCTAAACAACATGAAAGAAAAATGATGTTTAAATTTCTGAATAACCAACAAAATGAAACATTATTTTTCATCCTCAAATGTTTTATCTAATTTTTAAAACATTATTAATTTAAAACATTTTTAGTTTTAGAAAACATTATCCTTTTTTTTTCTACACTAGATTGAGATAAAAATCATGATAGAAAATTTTCTGATTGACATCTATATCTTCTTTGTAATTTGTTCAGGTTAAAATAACAATTTCTATATGTTACAATTTAATCTGAAAGCAGCTTAATTTTGTTGCTTTGTTTTTTTTTTATCATGTCTATAAGACACCACCAAAGATAATATTTGGTCAAAACTACAAACAAAATACAAAAAATAATGAAACATGGTATAAAAAGATATGACATACCTAGAGGTGTGAAAAAGACAACAGATGCAATCAAATATCCAGAGCACAGTCCAGCCAAGAACACTGAGATAATGGGGAACTGGATAAAATACCAGAATGCCAGCCACAACAACCCACCAACCACTCCTAAACCCAAGGAAACTGGTATCTTGACTAGAAAAAATACATTTAAAAAAAAATAAAAATGATAATGCTGGTAGTGATACATTCTTAGAAGTAACTGCTAATGAAAATAACATAAACATTATTTTAAATAAGCTTATAGTTTAAAGACAACCACAGAATTCAAAACTGATTAAACACTTGAATGGATTATTTTTTATAAGAAAACTTGATCTTTGCATCAAGTAAATGATTTATCTATGAAAAAAAAAAAGTCTTTACTTGAATCTTCATATGAGTGTGGTATTGACAACAGAATGTATATCAATAGAGCAGTGAAGATATATCCAAAGACAAATTGAGCTGAAATAAAAACATTAACCATAAATGCTTTTCTCGAACAATGAGGAAAATATTATAATATAATAAATCAATCTAGATGAAATTTCAAAATCCTACAACAAAATAATAAGTGAACAAAATCTAATTTATTTTTAAACTGAGTTCAATATAAAACTAAGTCAACAGATAGCATTTTATATTGAACAAATGTAAATATAAAATAATATTGGCAATAATTACTTACTTGTTTTAAAAAACTGATGTCCTACAAGAAGCAGAAAGATACCAAATACACCAACAGCTATGGACCAAAAGATTTCCTCAATTGAAGCTGCCCAAAAAGATTAAGTAAAATATCAATAACACAACATTTTTATTACAATACTCAACATAAATATAGGGAATATTTAAAAAAATAAAATTTTGAGCTGTCATGATGGAATGCAACAGTTTTACAATAAAAATATAGATAGATACTGATGATAAATTAGATTCCATTTCACATTTTTTTTTTCTATTTTTAAAAATGTAACAACTAATAGTTTATGAGATCTTTAACCATCTTTGGGACATTAAAGTAAGTACGTAACACTGAACAAATTCGGATATTATTTGGTTGTTATAGATTCACCAATTCTCCAATAACAAATGTAATTTTGAATATTTAAAAAAAGTTTCAAAACTTGTAAGCTTTTGTAATTTAAATCACAGTGATATTTAGCATAAATATGATTTGTCTTTGCTTTAATCTTTTGTGGACAAAACTTTAAAAAGAATAATTTGTTTTAATTCTAATATGACCTTTCAAAGTTCATGAAAAATTAGGAGTAGGGGTAAAATTGTTTAATATTTTTAAAATTCAAGAATAATTTATTATTGTGCAATGCAAAAGATGTGTAAACTTATTGTGATTTGAATAATAATAATAATAATAATAATAATAATAATAATAATAATAATAATAATAAAGTTATAAACATATTTCAGTCTAAAAATGTGGAGAAAAGAAAACCTGCAAAAACTGCCTGGTTTCAGTAACCAATAGAAAAGAATGGTTTATTAAAATGTAGCAATTTGTAGATAAAAATAATGAAACTATGGAAAATATAAAGAATAATCCATGTTTTTAAGTGGTTAAAGCTGATGCTATTGACAAGTAATGGACAGTGACAATATTCTAAAATTTGAAAAAATACAGCTTGTTTATTTAGTCCAACTCAGATATTGTTTTCAGTATAAATTTGAAGGATATTGTTATAAAGTAGCTTAAATGGAATAATAGTATCAGATAAAATGCTTGTAAAACGATTGTTTCATAGGTCGGAGAATCAGGTGAACTATTCTTTACCTCTCCATATTCAAGGTATATTTCATTTTGTTTTTTAAAACAGCATCGCAAAATATAAAATAAAATACTAACTTTGTGTAGTGCATTCTTCTTTTTCAAAACTGCAACCATATGAAACAGCAGTTGTGTACGCTGCACTCCTTCCTGTGTCTTGCCTGGTCACCACAACAGCATACAGCGCCCCCTGGTTGGCCTGAGACATGACAGACAATATGGACTTGGCTGATGGGCCATCTCTGGTAGAAACAACCTAAGAAAATACAAAATTTTTTAATAACCAATCAAATTGTAGGCTACACTTTGAAAAACATTTAAAAAATATAAAGTTAAAATGTATGCTTTAGACTACTAGTTTAGATGTCAATAAGAATAAAACTGACGACCATCTACAAAAAATATTTTCTTTCTATAAGTTTAAAATGCAAAATTTCAGAAGTGATTTTAAGATTTTAATTTAAAACTTTTGATTTTTATCTTTTTTTACAAGCATTTTTGTTTGGAGATAAATGAATTTTGTTTTTATAAGTATGCTAACTGTTTTTAGATATGTATGAATAAAAATTATGAAATTTGATAAAATATATTGTCTTGATAAGCATGCAGTTATTATATCTATTAAAATAATAATAATAAAAAAATTAAATCCTATAAGTTCATTTTCTGTATATTTACCTTAACAGTAAGGTTTTTTATTTTTAGGCATGAAGGATTTTTTTCTAATGTCAGTAGAGGTTACATTATTTGCAGTTAATTTTGATTGATGGGTAATAGAATAAAACAAGGATAGATATGTTTTTTTTTTAATAGAATGAATAAGAGAATTAAGAATTACTGAGTAACTGCTGATAGGTATTTAACATGGACATGTGGATTATGTTAAAATTCAAAATAAATTGTTGTACAAACCTTACTGCCATACTTTTTAATGTTGACTGGGTCAATCATTTTCTTCACGCTGTTAATAAATTCATGCTCAGACTGGTCTCCTTGTGCGAGGTAGTAGACGTAAACTTCATAGGTGAGATTGCTTTGCACCTGTAATAATAAGAGCATCAGTCACCCTAAACATCATGAGCACTTAATGACAGTTTTTATGTGGTTTTTAATACACCCGCTGTTCAAGAGACCATTTAGATCAGATAGGAACCTGAGACTGATTTCAGCAAACTCAGCTGTAATGAGGAACTGGCATCAGCTTGGGCATATGGACACGAAACTGGTGAAGTAGATTTTTTGTTTGTTTGTATAACAGACTGTCAATTCTCAAACAGTGATTTTACGATGTAATAATCTTTTCCTGTTCATGCTCAAGACACATGAGGCAGATGAAGTAGAGTTCATCTGTAGCAATGACATCAGGGAATAGTGTGGTCAGCATTATGGCCAGTTAATTTAGTTTCCCTAACATGTTAATATAAAGTAGTTAAATGAGTAGGCCTATTTTTAAATAAACTTATTACACAGTTGGGGGCCTACCTTAATTTTAAACAAATAAACAGAATATAAATTATTAAAATCTCCATAAAATTTTCTGTTCTTTGAATATCTACTTGGCATACAATCAAATTGTTTTAATTCATCTACTACTTTTCATAATAATAAAAAAAAATTAGACTTACTATTTTATTTTCACAATCTGGTAGCGGAAGGCCCTGGCCAACTGCCACGTTGGCCCACTGGAACCAAACATCGGTTCTATAAGGCTTTGTTAAAAGAACAATGGATGGATCAATTGGAAGATTAAAAACTTGGTTGCAACCGCCTGGCAATGGGTCTGTAAGAAATTAAGATAAGTGTATGAAATTGGATAACTGGCTAAAAAAATTGCATTATTAGGTAAAAAATGTGCTAGTATAGTCAACAATCTATTCTATCTAACACAAAAAAAATAAATAAAAAATAAACGAAACTAAACAGTATAAAGAATTTAAGTCTAAAACACAAGAAATAGCAATGTACAAATTATTTATAGAGTTTTTAAAATTTTACTCTTAATAATGATAGCTCTTGTTGATTGTAAACAGATATTCCAAATTAAAAATAAACAACCAAAGAGTCAATATTTTTCACTATATTACACAGTAATACACTTGAGTTTGAATCCAGGTTTAAGTCCATATAATGAAGAAAGGGTCTGAGTCCATCATGTTAGGGAAAATAAAGGCGGCTGGGCATAGTGCTGACGACATCATCCCTTTATATCCCAAGGTCACAGAAACAGGTGAACTATATTTTACTTGCCCCACTGACAGTCAGGTTCAAAAGGGAACATTACTTATATTACAGTGTGTACAGAATAATCCACAACAATAAAACTCTTTTCTTTAAAGACAAGCGATGCCATAGAAATTAAGTTTTTTACCATTCGAGTCATGGAAATCCATCAACGCCACTGCTGTGACATTATCTGGTCCACTGACCCGCATATACAGTGTTACATTATCTTGCTTGGGCTGTAGTATTGTCAGTATGCCAACACTTGTGCCAGTCTTGGTCGTGTCAGAGCCAAAAGATGGTTCAGAGGACAATGACAAATTGCTGATTTGTGTGTGAAACTGTAAGAAAAAAAAAAATTAAAATGTTATTAGTTACTACTTTTTTAGACCTGGCGTTGATAAGTGGCAATAGGAAAATAGACAGAATATACAAATTACCTGAAAAGTAATATAGCTGAATCCATAAAATGGACTTCTGAGCCATACAGTGGTTGTTTTGTTGGCTAGTATTGTGATGACGGAAATAGAACTATCTAGCACCAGCTCACCTTCTGAAAAGTCCAATTTAAAAGAATTGTAATTATCTGTATGCTAATTTGTTTATTTATGATCATCAATATTCTCATGCCTATAGAGAACACTGACAGTCTTTGTCATGTTTTTTCCCATCATTCTATGGCTCTACTTTATTAATGGATACGTTTTACTAATTTATATACAAATGACAAGTATTGTTTTGATGTGGTAAAATAAATAAATGAACAGCAAACGTGATGGAGAATATTATCAAACTATATATATTAATTTAATATATTTGGTTATGTTAATTTTCTAAATTTAATTAAATGAATAACCATTTGAAATTAAGGGGAGGTAATAAAATGTTCTGCTTGCTCTTTTCATTGTTGTCTGTAAACTGTTGTCATGGGGGGAGGGGGGGGGAGGAGTGGAAAGTGAGGGTGAGGATAATTGTCCTTCATGAGCTACTGATAGTGTTTTAAAGCAAAATATTCAGTAGCAACAGTAGTAGTAGTAGTAGTGTCGAATTCAAAAATTATGAATTAGGTCCTACTAAAAATAGGAATTAAACTAAATAGTGGCGTATTATGCTACGTCACGGGTCAGCTCGTAATGGTCTTACTATATGATGTAGTATTATGTGTATGGGGCCTATACCTATAGCCTAATAATAATAATAGGACTAATAATAATAATTTAATTGGGCTAATTTTACTAATTTAGTAATTAGGCCCATGTCTATTTTAAAATTTATAGAATAAATCTAGATCTACCTGCTAAAGTTGCCGAAGGAGAGCTGAGTAGGAAAATACCAGCAACAAAAATGACACAAAAATTGTGCATTCTGTTATCAAATAATTTCATTTTTTGTGGTCAAGTTAACACAAACCAGTGAAACACATTTTTACACTTATAAACTAGATTTCTCTAGGCCTACACTAATGAGTCTAATACTCTAATAGAATGTTATTTTGATTTTGACTGAAATTTTGAGACATTATTTTAAATCTTTGTTTTGTAACACATCAGAAAAAATATGAGAATTTCTAAATTTCTGAGAATGCAGAAGATTAAGATTAAAAATATTAAAATAAAATAAAAAAAAAGTCGTTTTTTTCTAGATCTAGAACTAGATCATCATTCTATCTCATGAAATATTGTTTTTAAAGTATTTTAACGTTAAGTAGATCAAGAATATGTTATAGATCTACGTAGGTTATTGTTTACAAATAAATTATTTTATAATCCACTATTCAGTGACTATTCTGCCGTTCTTTTGAACAACAATGTTTTTCTTCCGATTTCTGTCACAAGGGTAAGCACTCTGGAAATGTTACATTGGTGATACTTTGATTACCTCACCTTCTATTGTAAGCCGTATCTCACATATTATTTCACAACATAGATCTAGTAATGTAGACCTGTTATCTTTAACCCGTATCCACAGATTAGATTGTAAAACGTTAACAGCCCTACGGTCTAAAATAGATAAACGTCGGGATGTAGTCTTAAATATAGACCTATAGATATCTTAGAAGAAAAAAGTTTAAAAACTCCAAGGGCGTGCGTTTCTACATTTGTATTTGGAAAAAGATATATGCCTAGAGTTTCTTTTAGGCTTCTTTTTGATGCATCTCTTATTGCGGTTGCGACAGGTTTTTTTTTTAAATTTGTTGTCGCCCCCCTCCCCCTTAAAAGGGTGTCAACCGATGCGGACCGAACCCCTCCTGTGATTTTACTGTCTAGATCTAAAACAAATAAAAGTCTTGCAAGGGAATGATCAGGTGTTTTTATTTTATATATGTGTATACATAGAGGAAGGGTAGGGGGTATAAAAGTTGACTAAAATTTATGGACGACACCTCATACTAAACGGGAGAGAAATCACGCTCAGACTGCATTAATTCTCAACAGTAAAAAGAACTTTATTACTTTATGATTACAATATTCACATTAATAATCTACGAGTTTCCCCTAGACAAAAAACGAAAACACAAAGCCCACTGATAGGACTATTACCTTTTATAATAAAATTATCAGATACTGATTAACCTTCAGTCAGTTCAATAGCGTGTAGCGAGGCTGACTACACACTGAAACTCGTAGACACAGACCGCCCATCCAATCGTTACAAAACGATTTTTGGAAGTGTTTTATTTCCTTATGTGGGAGACTAATATGACGGGAGTATTGTAAAACAGGAAGGAAAACTCGGGGGGAAATGGCTCTCAGAAACTGGGTAGGTTGTAAGGATGTTTGTGTACGTTGTGTCTTCATCTGTTTAATTTATGTCCGTGTTAACACATGTCCGTGTTAACACAGGTCAGTGTTTAACATACACATGTGTTTAACATAGGGGTCATCACACCTCAGTCTACAACCCCCATTAAAATTGCAGTTGAATTTTTCTTAAAACATCGATATTTTTCCAAAATCTTGTCTGAACTCTGTCAAAATAGAGTATTTTAATCAATTCCTATTAAAACAGTTTTCTAAAACGCGAAATAACGTCTAAAATAAAATTCGTTTTCTAACATTGCTTTTTTATACTGCAAAAGTGTTACGTCGCACGATCTGAACCCCCCCCCTCCCCCTCATCACACACCGTTACAAAACTACCGTCCCCCTTCCCCCCTACGAGTGTGAAAATTGGTTTCATACTGAAATCCTGGCAATATTACTACAAAATTAACAACACAATTATTTACAACTGCACTATGGTCTAGATCTAGCTTGCTGTTAGATTTAGAATGCATGAGATCGGAGTAAAATTAATGCCACTTGTTGTCAAGATTAGCTAATTTAGTGAATTTCTATTTAATTTAATTTAATTGGAGCGGCGTCATTTGGTTTTAATGTCAAGGACGAGACTAGATTCAATAAAGCGTTCAATAAGTTCGATTTGTTTCATATAGTATGTAAGGGAAGCTATCAGAAAATTATTTTACAACACTTTAGTTTCATAAGTAGCGACCCTTGGTTGATACCATTTTAAAAATCTTTTTGTATAACAGCTTCTCTAATGTTGCTATTTTTTAAAATAATAAAAAGTGTTTTTATTAATTATTATTAATTGGTTTTCCGTTTTAGAAATAAAACTAATTATTCAGTGAAATTTAGGCAGCAAAAATAACTAAGACACTTAATATTTTCAATTTTCAATTTTCATTGTAGCCTATAGGCCAACCTTATTGATGTATTTTTGTAATCTAAGTAATTTAAAGAAAACGTTTGGTAGAAATGTTTATTTTCTGTAGTCTGATTCTTTATGTTTCTTTACTTCTCGTTTTGTTTTGCCTCACAGTTTTGCTGTGTCTTATTGAAAAAAGCTTTTCTATAATCTCTGTTGTTTTTGTTTCCTCTTAGATTGGCCTATTTTTAATGGGAGCCATCAATAACCTCCCTTATGTTATTGTTAACTCGGCTGCTAGTACGATCACTGACAGGTAAATCTTTTCATTGTCTTATAAGTCTGGGAGGTAGATAAGTGGAGGGGTAAAAAGTGTATGTGTTTTTATGAAAGGGGTGGGGGGGGGGGGGAGGAGTAAGGAGTTACATTTTTTAATTTTTAGATTTTATTTTTTCTGTTGGTAGTTTCTTTTAGACATCTTATTAAGTTTGTTATTTGTTCAGTAGCTGTTGTATTAATGTGACTTTAAATGTACCACCAAATGTGCCATTAACTGTGATACGAACGTGATGTTAATTATATTAAATGCTCAAACTACTACACTGGGCGTGAAAAAAAACAAGCCTGCACCGTAAAACAAGCAATAAACAGATCTTATCAATAAACTAGAAAATAATCCACAACAAAACAAGTCTCAATAGAAAATAATCCACAACAAAACAAGTCTCACTAGAAAATAATCCACACAAAAAAACAACTCTCCCTAGAAAATAGTCCATAAAAAACAACTCTCCCTAGAAAATAGTCCATAAAAAACAAGTCTCACTAGAAAATAATCCACAACAAAACAAGTCTCACTAGAAAATAGTCCACTACAAAACAAGTCTCACTAGAAAATAGTCCACTACAAAACAAGTCTCACTAGAAAATAATCCACTACAACCCACGAACCTACTCTGCTTTCAGGTTTAACGAGAAGAACCTTGTTGGTGTTGTGTTCGGTGCAAATGTTTCCCTCTCAATGCTTGTAAAATGTGAGGAGTCGTTTTGTTGACAGCCTAGGTTTTAGATAGTTTGTTACTATTTTGGGGGGGGGGGGGGAAGTAAGGGGACAATGATAAATGTATATATTTCTATCTCAATTTAATTAAAAAAAAATTTTGTCCGAGACGCGTGGGCAATTTAATTTTTATTTCATTTGATTCTACCTGGCAGTAAAAATTGTTGTATTGTAAATGAATTAAAAAATAAACAGTTGGCGAGGTCCTGATCACAAAAAGTTTTTCTATCCAGGGAATAAATACTTGGTTTAATGACCGAATACGCTCCGCTGTAAGAACTTAGAATTTTATTAAAGACCAGGTGTTAAAGCGCAAACAATACAAGAATAAAACGGATCATGGAAAATATAACATTATTTAAAGTAAATAAGAAAAACCAAGCATATGAAAAGTTAAATCAGTCGTCAATATTTAAACTTCAATAACTAAAAAATGTTAATAATTAAAGAAATGTGAATAATTTAGTAACGTGTTAAGTTAATTAAACAAATGTGAATTTAACAAAGGTAAATAAAAAATAAATGTGAATAGCTTATTGGGTATGTCTAAATAATGAGAATAATTAAAACATGTAAATTACTAAACACATTTTAATAAGTAAATAAATAAGAATTGCTAAACAGATGTGAATAAATTAATAAATGTGAATACTTCTTTTTTACAAATGTGAATAACTTAAAACATGGAAATATTTTTACATATGAGAATAGTTTAAGAAATGTAAATAGCTTAACAATAGTAAATTATTTTACAAATGTAAATAACTGCAAACGTATTGAGTAATTATTCAAATATGAACTTGGCGATGCCAGTTTCTCAGTTCTCCTCATCTTTCCACAGCACTGAACACATTTCTACTGTTGAAAGTCTCCTACACCATACGTTTCATCGCCAATGGACTCATTATGCTTGTGGGCAAGAGAATCATAGCTTTAATCCTTTAAAATTGTGTATTGTAGCATATAGGCTTAAAACCCACCAACTAAAACCAATTTTACATTTTATATTTTTATTCCAATCTTAAAATGAAGACTACTTTTCTGAAGGGACAGGGTGTCATTCATTTTATTTTTACATTCTTACATACTTTTAAAAATTCTGCATTCTATAAATGTGGAGCAACTCTAAATGAACATACGTTAAACTTATAATGTAAGACATTGCTAAAACAATACACACTAATAACTGCTTTGTAACTTTGAATGATGTTTTAATTTTTTAACCTCAGGACTTTTTGGCATTGCCTATGCTTTTAACTTTGGATTCGCAATCGCCTGCATAGTAAGTTATTTGAACATTAATTTAAAAAAAGCGATTTTCATCTTCTGGAAAGGAACGCTTTTAGAATTTTTTTTTAATTAATTAGATAAAAATATCTAGCTTTTAAATACAGAAATGATAATAGATGATGAATGCTGAATTGACAAACAGAGCATTGAACTTAAACTGACCTTTTCACACAAGATCACTACAAGAAACTGAATATTTTACTGCAAACCCTAGAATAGAAATGACTAATTTTTTGGGTTTAGTAGTGTTAGTTCTCGGGTTAGGTTAAATGATGTTATTCACGGTAAAGGTTTAATTAGAGGTTTCTATGCTTTGTACAATTAAGAAAAAGGCCATCAATATTAGTAAACTTATATTTTATATTTTAAAAAAATTATCAGATAATGACGAGATTTATTTTTCGATATACAGGCTGTTGTTGGCTCCAGTTCGGCTTTTGGAGAAAAGTAAGAAAAATTTATACATGAATTAAGGTAATCTGTTAACGACATAAATCACTTGCACCACGCTGAAATCACACCAAAGAGTAGTTTATATCGAAATTAGCAAAGACAATCAAACATCAACAAAAGTGTATAACACGAGTTTAAAATGTTGTAATGATAATGCTATACTCTATCAAATCAAGTGTCACGCTGGGTCTATTGTCACGGTTTCCAAGTTCGCTGGTCAACGCCTGGTCAAGCGGAACAGGAATGGCTGGAGTTTTGGGCGCAGCACTATATATCATCTTTGGTTAGTCCTTGTAATTCAATAATTGCACAACTTAATCATTCCAAGTCTTTTAAAATGTATATATATATATATATATATATATATATATATATATATATATATATATATATATATATATATATATATATATATATATGTTTCTATATTTTTTGACACTATGTGACTAGGGGTATAAATTCATACGCTTATCTAATCAACACTATTTATAATTTATACAACTCTAGGTTGTGTGGTGGGCAATGGAGGCGATAAACAGGACAAGCTACAGACTCTAACAAAGTAAGGATGACATATCATATAACCCTAACAAAGTGAGGGTGACATTTGACATAACCCTAACAAAGTAAGGCTGACATTTGACATAACCCTAGCAAAGTAAGGCTGACATTTGACATAACCCTAACAAAGTAAGGCTGACATATCATATAACCCTAACAAAGTAAGGCTGACATTTCACATAACCCTAACAAAGTAAGGCTGACATTTCACATAACCCTAGCAAAGTAAGGCTGACATTTGACATAACCCTAGCAAAGTAAGGCTGACATTTCACATAACCCTAACAAAGTAAGGCTGACATTTCACATAACCCTAGCAAAGTAAGGCTGACATTTGACATAACCCTAGCAAAGTAAGGCTGACATTTCACATAACCCTAACAAAGTAAGGCTGACATATCATATAACCCTAACAAAGTAAGGCTGACATTTCACATAACCCTAACAAAGTAAGGCTGACATTTCACATAACCCTAGCAAAGTAAGGCTGACATTTCACATAACCCTAGCAAAGTAAGGCTGACATTTCACATAACCCTAACAAAGTAAGGCTGACATATCATATAACCCTAACAAAGTAAGGCTGACATTTCACATAACCCTAACAAAGTAAGGCTGACATTTCACATAACCCTAGCAAAGTAAGGCTGACATTTGACATAACCCTAGCAAAGTAAGGCTGACATTTCACATAACCCTAGCAAAGTAAGGCTGACATTTGACATAACCCTAGCAAAGTAAGGCTGACATTTGACATAACCCTAGCAAAGTAAGGCTGACATTTCACATAACCCTAGCAAAGTAAGGCTGACATTTGACATAACCCTAGCAAAGTAAGGCTGACATTTCACATAACCCTAGCAAAGTAAGGCTGACATTTCACATAACCCTAACAAAGTAAGGCTGACATTTCATATAACACTAACAAAGTAAGGCTGACATTTCACATAACCCTAACAAAGTAAGGCTGACATTTCACATAACCCTAACAAAGTAAGGCTGACATTTGACATAACCCTAACAAAGTAAGGCTGACATTTCACATAACCGTAAAAAAAGTAAAATAACTCGAATTTGTTTAGTTTAGAAGTTGGTTTAGGATTAGATTTGTGCATATTTTACAGTGTTCACAGTAAACTTTTGTTTTGTTTCTATAAATGTTTACGACCGATCTTACACGTACGCTTTATATCTAAGAAATTTTGTCGTGTTTACTGTAAACTCTCGTTTTATTTCTAAAAATGTTTACGACCGACCTTACAGGTACGCCTTCCTCCTTACCACACCTGTGGTGTTGATCTACTGGCTGGCCTACTTCGTGGTGGTCAAACGTCCGGCAGAAACTGTCGAGAACAAACACACAGACAGTGACAGCCAGTGCATCAACACAACCACGGACAGCGACATCAACACAACCACGGACACCGGGAAAGAAATAGCACCAATCCAGGGTGACGAGGGTAGGATTTTCTTGCTGTAAATAATTTAAATGTGTGACGCTCAGCTTCAGGGTAATCTAAATCTATAGTCAAATTTAGATTTGTTTAAAGTAAAATTCACTTTTCCAACATGTAAGTCCATGGGGCAAGTGAAATAGAGTTCACATGTTTTTGTGACCTCGGCATGTGAAGGGATATATTTGTGTGCTGGACATACACAATTTTATACTGAGACAACAATAATTGCTGTTCAAGCACAATTAAGCCACAACCTTGTTATAGCTTTAGCTACGACAACAGTGGGCAATTTCTTTTCCTTTCTAATGTAAATAAAGAACAATCTCATCTTTATATTATGCAAAGAATGATGCGCTTATTTTCTCGTTCTCACCGCCATGCAATTCAAAATGTATAACCTTTACGATCAACTGTAATTATGCAAATTGTAGTTTTATTTCTGTGATATGAAATCTCTCAGGGAACAGAGAGCATTAGTTAGGCCTTGAATTGAAGCCAAAGCGTTCTTGATGGAACAAATTATGGGTAAAATTGTGGACAACTGCACACACAGTATTTCATATTTACCAGCGAATAATAATCGAATATCTTAACAATTGTGTTTGGCCGCCATTGTGGGATACACTGTAAAATAATAGTTAAGACACAGGACCCAACTGAGAGGCATAGAGTCGAGTTTGTTAGGGAAGTGAAGTAGGAGCCCTTTGCTCCTCAGTGACCTCAAAGGATTAAGTAGAAGATAGACAAAGTGATACCTAATTAGGCCTTCACGTATTTAGATTTTCGATGCTGTTTTTGTCAGAATATTATATTATCGCAAACATCGATTGGAGACGTTATTTTCGATCTGATAAATTTTAGCAGTGTTGTAAGAATATACGTTTTTACATTTAAAAAAGATGGAATAAATTTTTTTCCTCTGCACGTATGTCTTTACAGATGACGTGTCTGAGAATCAGCCTTTGATTAGATCAGAAAGTGGATGTCGTAGACTGTTGCGCTGTTTAAAAATGGTTCTTTGGTTGGGCATCAATGTAAGTCAACTACCTATGTACCCGTGGTTTACATTCAATATACAAATTTTATGACAAGCTGAAGACAATAGCCTAAATAATAGGTGGAATTTATTGTTTTTGTTTAGGTTACCAATTGACTGCATTTTGCCTCTGCTGAACATGCTAACGATCACAAACCTATATTGTCTAATATTTTACGTTCCCATATAACTTTGACTTAGTTTGTCCTATTAGTACATTCTCCCAAAAAAAAGACTAGATAGACAATTAATGAAATTGTCACATTATTCCCAACTTTTCTCGTTATTGAAGAGCCCCTATATCAACGGTACCCAATGGTTTTTTTTTTCAAATATTGAATATTAAACCTTTTGATGCAAATAACAACTCTTCAGCATCTAATTTCAGTCTTACAGTACCCCTAGTTTTCCCTAGGTTTAAGATGGTAAAGATGTTGACTTAACTATCAAACCCAACAGATTTCAATCATTCAGCACACCTGGTTTTTCTTAGAGTTTTAGATGATGCAGTGTTCAAGCAAATTTTTTCCCCAGCTTAAAAAAAAACCTTACCACACCCTTAGGTTTTCTGAATGTTTATAAGTTGATGCGGTGTTCATGCGCATTTCTTCCCCAGCTTTAAAAAAAAACCTTGCCACACCCCTAGATTTTCTGAATTTTTATATGATGCGGTGTCGACTCTAATTTCTCCCCCCCCCAGCTCTGCGCGGTGTACGTGTTCGAGTACGTCCCACAAGCCTGTGCCGCCAAGGTCCGTCCAAGTAAAGAGTACCACATCGGGTGCCCTGAGTTGTATGCCGCTCTACAATTGTGCTATCAGGTTGGTGGTGCTGTAGAACTTCTGTTATATCAGGTTGGTTGGTACAGTATATAGTACTGTTCAGGTTGGTTGGTATTTTAGCAGTACTATTTTATCAGGTTGGTGGTGCTATATACACTCGTGTTATATCATGCTGGTGGTGCTCTACACAGTACTGTTATATTTGGTTGGTGGTGTTCTATACAGTTCAATTATATCAGCTTGGTGGTGCTCTATACAATCCTGTTATATCAGGTTGGCTGGTATTTTAACAGTACTATTATATGGTAGTGCTTTAACAGTACTATTTTATCAGGTTGGTGGTGCTATATACAGTACTTTTATTTTAGTTTAGTGGAGCTCTATAGAATAATAATGGTATTATGATGATGTTACTATAATAATAGTTATATGAGCCTGACTAGTTGTTGTGAATGGACTTTAGTGTATTGAATGAGTTCAAGATTATGTGTGTGGTTGAACGGGGTTAATAAAAAATTCTAAATGCGTGATAAAGGAAATAAGGATGTGACGTAGGAGAGTATGTTTTGGTTGTTGGGAAGAAAGTAGAAGACAGCAGTGGCGTAGCCAGGATCGTCTCAAGGGGGGGGGGGGGGGTTCCAATTTTTACCCGGGGACAAACTTTCGATTTGCACCCCCCTCAAACTTTCGATTTGCACCCCTCTCAAACTTTCGATTTGCACCCCCCCTTCAAACTTTCGATTTGCACCCCCCCTCATACTTTCGATTTGCACCCCCCCTCATACTTTTTATATATACCGAGGGGTCTATGGGGGGGGGGGTTATGACCTCCCATAACCCCCCCCCTGCCTACGCCACTGGAAGCCAGTCTTAGTCTTGTTGTCGTTGTGTTAGGAAGTCTTCGTCCTGTGTCTGCCGTTGATTTAGTCGTCGTGTAAAGTTGATGTAATAAAATTATAGAAATGAAGAAGGCCGCCTTGTCTCGTCTATATTCGATCGTCCTACCTCGTTCGTCCACGTTCAGCATCGACCCTGTCCAAGCGCTCGCATTATAACATCACAACACTAGTGAATATACTTAAGAATATATCACACAGCTTAACCATTGTTATGTAAACTCCTAAATCTTGATCAGCTCAATGAAAAAAAAACCCAACTTTTTGATAAATGTATAAAGTGTCTTTCTTACTTTCGCTACGTAAATTTTCAGTTTCTATGGATGTTACTTTATTTAAATAAAAAAAAAGCCCAACAAAAACTACATTAAGTTTTATTGTATATACAACCAACTACTACTTCAATATTGTTATAACAAAAACTCTTAGCGAGAAAAAGCTGTTATCTTCTACTTTAATAAAAAAAATTGTTAGTTTTCTTGGCACAGATTCATATTTGTGGTACACTCGCCTTCTAAATAAACTATACTTTTTTTATATGACCATCATGTCTGATAGCGTGTTTAGAATTTCGCTTCACTTAATAAATGTTATATTTTAATCAGGCAGGAGTTTTTGTGTCTAGATCCAGCGTCCAGCTTTATCGGATAAGGAGAGTAGAAATAATCACCGCCTTACAGTTCGTTAACATGATCCTATGGATTATGGATGTCCACGTAAGTTGGATAAAAATTATTAATTGACGCCGCTAGGTAGTGTGTCATTCCCTTTATCAATTCTTTGCGTTTTCATTTTGGTGTTATATTCCCTCCAACAACTTATTACTTGTAATGAATATATTATTTTTTTAACTTATGTTTTAGTAGTACATTTTTGCGATTATTCTAATTGGTGTAACCATCTAAATCACGGGTTCCCAACCTGGGGGTCGCGACCCCCCTGGGGGTCGCGAAGGGCTTTCTGGGGGGTCGCCAACTGGTATAATAAACCTTAGTAATTTGAAACAAAACATAAATATTTACAAGAATTTTTAAAATTCGGCTTTACTAAAATCACTGGAAAGGGAATAGAGAAGAAGCAAAGCGTACTGTACAAAGTTTTTCTCAGTCACGAGTTTATGATATGGAGTTCTTTCGTCGGTATGAAGCTAGTTGCAAACGTCAGAAGAATCTGCATTGACGCATTATCCATTCTCTTCTTTCCTCGATGTTGCCAGCATTCACGATGAATTACAAGATGAATTCTTTGATTTGTAGAATGATTCCGCGTAAGATAAAAAACTGCACACTCAATTTTGGTGTAGTAGGCTATTCACCATTCATACCCAAACGTAAAATTGATTGACTTTTCGAGAATAGATTTTCAACACTATTTTTCGATTAAAAATAAAATTAAGTCTTAATTTTATTTTTAACGCCAACCTATGTCATTATCATTATCTTAATAAGATAATGATAATGACATAGGTTGGCGTTAACAAAAAAAAATGCTTTAAAAAAAATTAACCACGAATGTTTAGTGAATAGTATGCAATTTTACTCATGGTATTAAAACAGTTATCAAGAGTAGTTCATATTGAAAGTCTACTAGAAAATGTTATTTTAGTGCTTATTAATTTCCATACTAAATTTCGGCTTTTTAATTCTATGGGGGTCGCGGGTCACTTAATTTTTATTATAGGGGGTCGCCACTCGAAAAAGGTTGGGAACCACTGATCTAAATGGTGTCACTTTGTGCGGACCGCCCTCCTCCCACCCCGTTACGTTATTGCATTAGGATGGCGCTGATTATTTGAGCGAGCTCAAAATTATTGTAACGATTCGAGGAAAGCACTGTGAGCTTGGCAAAGTAGTAAAAACACAATTGTTTCATGCATTGATGTCAAATAAACAGAAATGGACTAATTCATCTGCCTCGATGACCTTTATTTCTGAGGTTTCATCCCTTTTTAAAATGAAGTTATTCAAAATGTGAATGTAAAATACCTAAAATGTCCTAAAATGAAAATCAATGAATTAATAAATAAACACGGTTATTAACTAGTTAAAAATAGATGCCCTTTATGTAGTCTAACAGCCTCGTATCGTATCCCGTAACCCCTAACTCTAAATTTCACTCATTGTGTGAAGCTAATCCTTATTTACATATTTTCAAGACTTAGATCTAATCCTATTATGTAAATATTACAGGGGATTAAACCAATAACACGAAAATTTATAAAGTAAAATATGTTACCATAATCTTAGATATTTTTTTTACATAACTTTCTCTTCACATCGTAGGTGCACATAAGCTAGATCAAACAACACACAAAGACCTTCACGCAACACACAAAGACCTTCTCACAACACACAAAGACCTTCTCACAACACACAAAGACCTTCACACAGCACACAAAGACCTTCACACAACACACAAAGACCTTCACCCAACACACAAATACCTTCACACAACACACAAAGACCTTCACACAATACACAAAGACCTTTACCCAACACACAAAGACCTTCACCCAACACACAAAGACCTTCACACAACACAAAGACCTGCACCTAACACAAAAAGACCTTCACACAACACACAAAGACCTTCACCCAACACACAAATACCTTCACCCAACACACAAAGACCTTCACACAACACACAAAGACCTTCACACAGCACACAAAGACCTTCACACAACACACAAAGACCTTCACACAACACACAAAGACCACACAACAAAGACCTTCACACAAACACACACAGACCTTCACACAACACAAAGACCTTCACACAACACACAAAGACCTTCACACAACACAAAGACCTGCACCTAACACAAAAAGACCTTCACACAACACACAAAGACCTTCACACAACACAAAGACCTTCACACAACACACAAAGACCTTCACACAACACACAAAGACCTTCACACAACACACAAAGACCACACAACAAAGACCTTCACACAACACACAAAGACCTTCACACAACACACAATGACCTTCACACAACACACAAAGACCTTCACCTAACACAACAAAGACCTTCGCACAACACAAAGACCTTCACACAACACACAAAGACCTTCACACAACACACAAAGACCTTCACACAACACACAAAGACCTTCACCCAACACACAAAGACCTTCACCCAACACACAAATATCTTCACCCAACACACAAAGACCTTCACACAACACACAAAGACCTTCACCCAACACACAAAGAGCTTCACCCAACACACAAATATCTTCACCCAACACACAAAGACCTTCACACAACACACAAAGACCTTCACCCAACACACAAAGACCTTCACCCAACACACAAATATCTTCACCCAACACACAAAGACCTTCACCCAACACACAAAGACCTTCACACAACACACAAAGACCTTCACCCAACACACAAAGACCTTCACCCAACACACAACGACCTTCACACAACACACAAAGACCTTCACCTAACACAACAAAGACCTTCGCACAACACAAAGACCTTCACACAACACACAAAGACCTTCACCTAACACAACAAAGACCTTCGCACAACACAAAGACCTTCACACAGCACACAAAAACCTTTACCCAACACAAAAACCTTCACACAACACACAAAAACCTTCACACATCACACAAAGACCTTCACACAACACACAAAGACCTTCACCCAACACACAACGACCTTCACACAACACACAAAGACCTTCACACAACACACAAAAGACCTTTATGTTGACCTTTCAGTACAAGTTTCTACCGACGGCTGCCTTGCCAGCGCTGATGATTTATGTTGGTCTACTGGGCGGGGCTTCCTACGTCAACATCTTCTACACCCTGCTGCACGACGGGCAGTTCCCTAAGGAGGACAGGGAGCTCTGCGTTAACCTCGTTGGGCTGTTTATCAACCTAGGTAACTCTAAGCTCTGTGGGTTAATCTAAGCTCTTTTGGTAACTCTAAGCTCTGTGGGTTAATCTAAGCTCTGTTGGTGAATCTAAGCTCTGTGGGTTAATCTAAGCTCTGTTGGTAACTCTAAGCTCCCCAGGTAACTCTAAGCTCTGTTGGTTAATCTAAGCTCTGTTGGTGAATCTAAGCTCTGTGGGTTAATCTAAGCTCTGTTGGTAACTCTAAGCTCTCCAGGTAACTCTAAGCTCTGTTGGTTAATCTAAGCTCTGTTGGTGAATCTAAGCTCTGTGGGTTAATCTAAGCTCTGTTGGTAACTCTAAGCTCTCCAGGTAACTCTAAGCTCTGTTGGTAACTCTAAGCTCTGTGGGTTAATCTAAGCTCTGTTGGTAACTCTAAGCTCTCCAGGTAACTCTAAGCTCTGTTGGTAACTCTAAGCTCTGTGGGTTAATCTAAGCTCTGTTGGTAACTCTAAGCTCTCCAGGTAACTCTAAGCTCTGTTGGTGAATCTAAGCTCTGTGGGTTAATCTAAGCTCTGTTGGTAACTCTAAGATTAGAATAGGATAGAATAATCTAGAATTAGGGGAGAGTGCGTGTGTGAGTTGAGTTTACCCTAGTGTGTAGTTAACCCCGGTGTGTTTAGGTATTGTTATCCCAAGGTTGAATGCGGTATAAAAGCTGGAGTGAATGATTGTCAGGGGTTAGGTGGTAGCGGTTAGGTCGATCTGGTCTGTAATGTGAATATGTGAGACCGAATAAACGTATTGAACGTAAACACGAGTCGTTCTTGAGTTGAAACTAACCAGGACGTAACAGCCGGGCTAAGCTCTAACTCAACATATTGGGTTGTTTATCAACCTAACTCTAAGCTCTGTGGGTTAATCTAAGCTCTGTTGGTCAGTTTAAGCTCTCTATGCAAGTCTAAGCTCTTTTGGTCAGTTTAAGCTCTGTAGGTAATTTTAACTTTCATTTAACAACCTAGGTTAGTCGTCTAGGCTATGCCGGTGGAGCTAAGCTGTATTTAAATACAAATAATATGATTATATATATATATATATATATATATATATATATATATATATATATATATATATATATATATATATATATATGCATTATTAATTTTTGACAGGTATCGTATTAGGAACAGGTTTAGAGACGCTGCTATTTATCACCGTGCTAAAAGATGATTGAAGTATTTGAAGCAATCTACAGTAACCTGCTCTGTTTTTTTTGCGTTTGGTTGACTGACTCCTGTCGATGTATGCAGCAATAATTTACATGAACCATACTCAATGGATGTTAATCAGTAGCGTAGCGAGGGGGGGGGGGCGGGGGGATATGTCAAAATGGGTTGGAAAAATAAATTGAAAGGTCGAGGGGGGGGGGGTGCAAATCGAAATCTTGAGGGGGTGTGCAAATTGAAAGTTTGAGGGGGGGGGGGGGGTGCAAAACAAAATCTTGTGGGGGGGGGGGGGGTGCAATTCGTAAAGTTTGTCCCCGGGCGCCGGGAAGGGTCGCTACGCCTCTGATGTTAATGTCTGATATTCATTAAACTGTTTCAAATATATTTTGTTATTGTGTTTGTCATGTGTTGAGATCTGATCTACGTAGACTAAATTTTATCTGAATAGAACGAGAGACATCTATCTCCTGGTTCTAGTTGTACCAACAATTTGTCTGTGCTGACGACCGCCCTACGGAACATCTAGAGACTATCTGCACAATGAATCATCTGAACTATAGACTATATGTTGTATATGATATCTGCTATTTGGAACATCTGCCCTAGTGACTATCTGCACTATAGTATGACAATATACTATTTAGACTGTTAGACAGTTTATGTAGTGTATACATACAAATATGAATACATATGAACTCGTATATTTAAGAGGGACATACAATAACAAGCTATCGATAATTTTTAAAACATTAACGATAATTTGTAATGAGATGTAGCGAGTTTTTTTAGTATGTAAAAACACTTATTCAACCTTTATAATGATTATAATTTCTCCAGATTAACGAATTAACTATTCAGATAACATTTGGGTACTTGAAAATTCTGAATTAGCATTAAACCTAATTCATCCATAATAGTGATTTTGGACGGGATTCCCTTCAACACGTGAACATGGTTTTGCGCCATATGTACCTTTTCTCTCCGATCTCAGCCTTCGTTTCTTTATGGCTTTGCTTTCCATAGTCTATATCCATCAACCACAATCTACAAGGCAGCAGTTTTTTGATTTTGTTGTTTTCTCTCCTAGACGGGTCGCTGTCTCCATCAATGGAGCCTCATCTGCATGGGGTTTTGAACTCGAGACTTTTCAGTTTAGCGACCATGAGCTGTACCCAGAGGCGTAGCGACTCTTCCCGGCGCCCGGGGGCAAACTTTCTATTTGCCCCCCTACTCAAGATTTCGATTTGCACCCCCCCCTCAAACTTTCGATTTGCACCCCCCATCGAGATTTCGATTTTCACCCCCCCTCAAACTTTCGATTTGCACCCCCCTCAACCTTTCAATTTATTTTTCCAACACATTTTGGCGCTCCCTAAGGTCGGCGCCCGAGGACATATGCCCCCCCCCCCCCCTCGCTACGCCTCTGGCTGTACCGGCCCAACACTAAATAATAAATATTGCAAATTTTGTTTTTTTGAGTCGAAATTTCATTCAATTTTAACTATACATGATTTAATATGTTTTTTTTTTAAATAATTTTTCTTTTACACGCTTCACCTGTTTCATTACTATACTATATGAACTTTTTAAAACATTCTCTTAATATAGGGCCTACTTACTGAGTACACATAGATTTTGTTGAACATGTAATACAACATTGCTGAGCTTATTAAAAGAACGTACATTTCTGGTTCTAGAAGAGTCAGTTATTGAATACCTAGCAGTTAAACAACCTAGAAAAAGGAAAATAAATGTTTTGCTAAAAACAATCAACGATTGAAAATAAGCAGTTAAGAGTCATCCGCTCTCCAATTTGACCAAGCTTTTGATGGTGTAGGATTTAGATGTAAAATTTTGTTATTCCATCTCTAAATAGAATCTTAGTATCTAGCCATTGTGAAGAATATATGTGAGGATCTAGATGTTGTAGAATTTACTTCAAATAGTTTCTGTAAGCGTTGTGAGTATTCCAAGTGTTAAGTACATGAATAAATAAATGAATGAACAAATGCTCTGCAGTAATGATTTTATATTTGGTTTTGTTGTCTCTATTAAAAAGTCTACAAGATTATCGATATTTGAAGATATTTTTTGAAACCTGAGATCATTTGCTTTAAGTCAGGGGTCTCCAAACTACGGCCCGCGGGCCGGATGCGGCCCGCGAGGTCCTCTCGTCCGACCCGCGGAGATCTTTTTTTTTCCATGGAAAAAAAATGTTTATTGGAGATGGCTGAGGAACTTTGCCCAGAAAATTCAAAACAATTTGAAAATGTAGCTTTGTGTACAAATACCATTGCCCGCCGTGTTGCAGACATTGGTGAAAACATTGTGACTCGAATAGCGAAAAATACAAGCAAGTTTCGCCATTTTTCAATTGCAATGGATGAGTCGCTGGACAGCTGTTCCACCTCTCAGCTGCGTGTGTTCATTAGAGGTGTGGTTAAAGACAAGAACACAAGAGCTGGCTATATATTCAATGACTAAAAAAACGCTGATTATAACTTGGACTGGACTAACCTGTTATCTGACTGTTGATGGAGAAAAGTACACGAGTGGCATAAAAAAGGCTTGATTGGAAAAGCGGATGAGAAAAAAGCATTCTACAACCAATGTTCCTCCACTGTATTATTCACCAGCAAGCTTTGTGTGTTAAATATATGGACATTAACAGTGTACTGAATCCTGTGGTGAAGATGGTGATTTTAATAAGGTCACATGGGCTCAACCATAGATAGAGGCAATCATGTCGAAAGAAACAAACACAAAATCGCAAGATTTACCCTATTACACAACAGTAAGATGGCTAAGTTGTGAGAAAGTTCAGAGCAGAAATATGTATATATTTCTATATAAATTATATTTCGTTCGGGTGGGGGTGGGGGTGACATTCTTTGGGGGGGGGGGGGGTCCGCCACTGAAAGAGATACCTGAAAGAAACCAGCCCCCGAACTTATATTTGATAGTTGATGAGGCCCTCGGGCTGAAAAGTTTGGAGAACCCTGCTTAAAGTCAACACACAAGCAGATGCTGCAGGCTACATGCTGTTAATAGCCTATCGCTAGATACGTCGTCTGTGGTGTCGGGTGCGTCTGGTAAGTATTTCTTGGGTTAAAAAGTAATTATATATATATATATATATATATATATATATATATATATATATATATATATATATATATATATATATATATATATATTCATTTGGTTCAAAATAGTGTTAAAACCGTACAGTAAAAGCGTGGAGGGATAATATTATTTGTAGTTTGCTACCAAATAAAATTTCCATTTCATAAAAAGAACCATTATTAATAAAATTTACTAAATAAAATTTATAAAAAAGGTAAATTCATAGTTGTTTTAAGTACAAACAAAATAAATGGTTTATTAAAGTAATATATTCATGCAATAATTAAATATAAGATTTGTAGAATAGCATTTATTTAAAAGATAGCAACTATTTTATTAACGCATGGAAAATATGTTTTTTTTATGGAATAACTTGAAACGGCGAAACGTAATATGATGTTGAAAGGGAATTATTGAACGTATGATTGATACAGCTAGTATGAACTGCTTGTTCCCTCTCTCTCTCTTTCTTTGAATGAATCAAGGATGACAGTTGCTTACAACTGATACTAAAGTAATGAGTTTCGGGCTTGCAACTTAGCATTTTACCAGTGTCGTCTCCAGGGCGGGTGTCATGCGGGGAGGTAACACCCCTCCAGTATTTTCGGTTTGGTGTCACTTCTCTCCACCTTATACTTTTATTCTTTTTAAATGGGTTAAAAATTGATTTTAATTTACATTTTACGACTTTTCAATTTGGTGCCCCCCCCCCCCCCCCCCCCGTGAATGTTGGTAACGCACACCCTACTTGTGACCCTACTGTGTTTTACAACTCGACCACGACGTTTCGTTCTAAAGATTAGCATTAATTAAAATAAACTTAACAATTTAACATTAAAAAATCATGGAAATTATATTTTAAATTTATATTCTGTTTTTATTTTTCTCTTTAGTCATTCATTGAACCAAAACGAAGAAGTAAAACAGCAGTTCAATCTACTGTGGCGTAGACAACATTTTGATATAAAACAATTTAAATCCCAGAATGCATTTCAGGAACATAAAACCCAGAACTGTACTCGGGACTGTTGTGTTTGGTGTCTTCCTGATACTGATAACACATTTTAACTATAACGCCTATATAGAAATAAAACTACGCTCTTCTCATTTAGAGACATTATGTCGTTCCAATTCCACTAACAATATTCAATATGCAATGGTCAATTTACGAATGAAGGGAGGATTAATCGATAATGGGAGTATCATAGCAACAAGAATGACTTTTAACACTAGTTTGATTGTACATTGTAAAAAATCACCTTATGTTGATTGCGTACCAACAATCAGGGGAAACAACCAAGTTAATATATCGACAGGAATAAGGAAACCAAGAGTTGCGTACTTTAGAATAAATACGTGGTCTGGCTTTTCAAAAAGCACTTTCAGCTTTTCCCATTGTGAGTACAACAACTGTATAGTTGAGACAGAGGTCACCAACATGACGGATGTTGTGGCCATCTACGGCGTCATCATGGTCAGCAGCGAGAGATTTAAAAACCTCAAATCAAGATGGCCGCATCAGTTGTACGTTCTGATGGGCTGGGAATCTCCATTTTTATTCTATGGATTTATGGAAGGTCATTATCTCCTTGAGTGTATTTAATTCAAAAGATGCTTACTAAAAACATTTTGTACAAATCATTTTGTATTTAACTATACTTTTTAAACTAGCAAATACATTTTCTTTTACATATCACTAAAATATTTATTTGTACTGATTATTTTCCTAAATTCCTATTTTTAATTGTTTAAATTTAGACGAACATCTATGTTTAGTTAACAATTACAATTAGACGTTTCTATGAAACTGAAGAAAATACAGATCCATTTAGAGGATACAACTGTTGGAAATAAATCCATTTTATTTTTGATAATCCAGAAAAATCGTCAGAATGGGAAATGGCCTTCAACCTGTCCATGACGTATAGAGTGGACTCAGATATCTTCACGCCTTACTCCAGACTTGCCTTCAAACCGCAGCCGTTAAATGAACGACCAAACTACAGTAAGTTTTCGTACTTTGAGATTTACGTAATGTGAAGTATAGTTACAAGTTATATTTTTAAAATTTGTGTAGTGCGAATACAATTACTCGTAACCAGTTTTAAGAATATATACAATTCTGGCTTTACAAAGGCTCTGGTTTAACACTGAATAAATAACTTGAGAAAAATGTGTAACTGGATACAACTGAATAGACACTTACGCGTCTAGAGCTGAAATACAATGCAATTTAAAAAAAAATACAAGTGGCTGTTGTCCCATGATTTTAAAATTCAGAAATATAATTTCCAGTCTTCCCAATCATGTAAAATGTAATTAAATTTCCTTGATCTCACCAGTCTCTTTCACTAATAAGTTTAAAAACTAACATCTTTTTCTAAGCAATATACACTATTGCTCGCTCATTGAAATTTTTACATATTTCACACATATAAGTAAGATTACTTAGTTGCAACTAACTATTGGACAACGTAATTAAATCTTGGCTTATATTTACTTTAGAGCACATTTGCTTTCAGGGGAGATAGCGAGGAATAAAACAAGATCAGTGATGTGGCTTTGTGGCCATTGTTTGGTGGAGTCAAAGAGATACGAATACATCAAGGAAATGAGGGTATGTCTTGTGGCACATTCGTTATGTATTGAAATATCGTTAGTCCTAGCTTGATGTAAAATCTTTTATTTTGTAGCACATATGTGATTATTAAAATTAACGCTACGAATAAAGACAGTCAACGATCTTATTTTTTTTCTAAAAAAAAATTTGAACGAGTTTTTTAAATTCCTTGAATAAATTACAATATAAACGCAATATTTACAACAAACTGTATACAAGAAAGCTACAACATAAACAAACACACCCTGCTTAGCCTTTTCCGTATCGTAAGTTCTCTGATGACTAATTATTTAAATCCAACTATACTTTAAATCTGACAGAAATACATCGATATTGACGTGAGGGGAGAGTGTGGAAAATCCTGCGATGAAGAACCATCTTGTATCAGGTCAATGACTTCCACATACAAATTCTACCTGTCGTTCGAGAACTCACTCTGTCAAGATTACATCACGGAGAAATTTTTCAAACTTTTTAACAAAGACATCCACGTTGTACCAGTTGTGAGAGGAAAAGTGGACTACGAGAAATATTTTCCGGAGAACACTTTCATAAACGCGGCCAATTTTAGAACGGCCAAAGATTTGGCCTTATTTCTGCTAAAACTGGGCTCAGATATTGAGAGTTACAGCAAGTATTTAGAACACATAGATCTCTATAGAGAAACAGACGACTATCTAAAGACGGCAGGCTGTACTTTATGTAAAGCTCTAAATACCAAGAAAATGGAGCCGAAAGTTTACAATATAAGAGAGTGGTTTGTAGGTGGAAGTCAATGTGACCAAAATCCAAAGGATTTTGTTTAATATTTAGCCTTTAAATACAATTTAAATTTTTAAGTATTTAAAAAATATTCCTTTCCCTTTTAAGTATGCATTTGTCTTTATTACCGTCTTTGTTATATTTGGAAAATTCATTACATTTACACTATAGGATTTAAACGCTTTACGTAAAGTGAATCTGCTTATATTCAAATACGAATAAATAAATAAATACATGCATGAAAATGAATGTTTGTATTAATTTTATTAGTATATTAGACGACCCATGTTGTTTTTTGGAATACAAACTGTTGGGTAAGAACACACAGAAAATCCAGCTTCAATCGAGCGTGTCCACACAACACTACGGCTACACTCAATGCAAACATCAAACCTAATATTTCATCATACCCCATCATCATATAACATCAGTATCTATTAAAATATACCACGCCGTTTCCCCAGAGCATTTCCAAAGTCCACACTATCGGGCAAGCTAGAAAAAAAAAGTAATTTTGAATAAATATGTTACTATTGGTTTTTTTAAATGTATTTTATGTATTTTGGGCTCGTTGGAGCCAAGTGTAACAATCGTAAATAAACACATTCCATAAAGATAATCAGTATAATTTACTGGTAATTTTCACCAACATCAAGAAACATGACAATAAGAAAACGAGTAGGTACACTGTTGTCACCACACTACATTGCTTCACACACTGATTCGTTCACACACTTGTTTTTTCACACAAACCACTTTCAAGGGGAGGCCGCTCTCACACACACTATCCGTGCCTACACATTTTCGTTATAGACATCTACGTCACATATAATATATACTTTAATATAAACTTTGATCTCACCCCCTCCTAAAAAATCTGTAACAGTACGGCTCTATGATGTAATTTCTTTATATATTTAGTACCTTATAAAAAATTGTAGAGTTCTTTTACCAATAGCTAAATATTCACGGTTGATATAACTAACAAAGCGTCAAAAATATCGTCTTTTTGTTATTTTCCTTATATGAATACATTCTTCTCTACTTAAATTAATTTCAATGTTATAGCACATGTTTTTATTAGAAATTAAAAACTTGTAAAGAACTAAAATTTTAAGAATACCGCAGTCTTTCGATGAATAGAATTTAGAGTTTCAACAACAGTTCTTGGTTAAAAAAACCCAATGAAGTATCAGTTACGTAATAATAGCAGATAAGTATAACTATTCAATTTCTTATTTCTATAATGTAATGGCGAACACATTTAGGGGATTTAAGTGAAGGCATCAACTAAAAACAACTCAAAGCAATTATTTATCAAAGTTAAAGTGAAAAAAGGGTAGGGGGGAAAGAAGTGGGGGGGGGGGGAAAGGGGCGCTACACCAAACCAAAACAAAAATTGTTTGAGGGGTTCGGGGTGACACCTTCAATCTCCGCGACGGAACTGTTAGATACGGCGAGGGTTAGGCTAGCAAAACACGAGAATCACGACTGACTGGAATTCGACATAACTTAAATATTTCTCAACATTATGAAAATTGACGCTGTCTTGTTTCTCGATGGGAGGGTGCGATCCACACATTTAATCCGCTTAAGTAAATGTTGTTTAATCCTTTGCAATCAATGGGATTTTGCATTATACAATATCAAAACTAGGCGTATTCAGGTGGAAAAGGTAGGCCTTTGTCATTGTTTACCTAGCTTAATCAATATATATATATATATATATATATATATATATATATATATATATATATATATATATATATATATGAATATGCGGGCGTGCCCAAATGTTTGTGTGTGTGTACATATTTGTAAATGTATGTCTCCAATTGAATCCCATTACTTAAGCAAGATATAACCCAATACTAACATTTAAACAAAATTTTCGGTGCACAATCAATAGCTCTTACGAAAATAAACCACACGTTTTTGGTTTGATATTTTAATTAAGCTCAGCATGTGGGAAATGGACTGATTTCATAAGGGTATTTAGTTAAAGGCGTTGAAAAATGACGATGATTTATTTTGATGCTGTTTCTGAAAGCAAAACAATGTAAACAAAGTTTTAACTTCATATTAGCAAATTAATATGTAGGCTACCTAGCTAACATATTTTCTGTTTTAAATGAGAGCTTAATGTATGTCTGCAGATTGAAAATGATTGAGTAAAAATGAATTTAGTAAAAATTATATGTTTACATTTATAGCAAGGGAAATTAAAATGTTTTGCATGCATGTAGCGTTTCAGACATAATGTGTTATTTAAAAGGCTCACATGGTATATATATATATATATATATATATATATATATATATATATATATATATATATATATATATATATATATATATATATATATATATATATATATATATATATATATATATATTTTTAGCAAAAATCTTAAATTAGTGTTTTAAATATCTTATTTATTTTTTAATTCCTTTTTACTTCTCGTATATTCGAAGTATAGAGGAAGTCTTGTATTCGTGCAAAAAAAAATTCGAGATTTTTTACTAATCTCGACGTTTTACACCTCACTGATACGGAAAAACATAATTTTGCAATCTTGTTTATTACCGTCCTCGATATAATTTGTCCACACCATACACCAGCACTAATTGCAAATCCCAATGTCACCCTTTCGCTTACCCCAAATTATTTCATATTACACTCTACCCCGAAGAAATTCTACCGCCCCCCCGAACTAGATGGATTTTGCATAGTAAACATACACTTTTACTAGTCCGCCCCCCCGCCCCCCGAAAAATGTAGACCGCCCCCCCCCCCGAAAATTTCACAGCAAGTTTAGGATTTAAAAAAATTCTGTAGATTAAATGATACTTTTTAGAATGTTTACATTCTAACTTCAGACAAACACAACTAAGCTCCTGTATAATTATTTTTAACTAAACGATTACAACAAATACTAACGGAACTTCACTATATTATTTCTCGTTCAATATGGTATGGTACGCACGATGAAGCATTTTCAATCGATGGGATTCGGTATTAAAAGATATCAAACTGAAGCGTAGTTGTTCTTTTACAAGAGCTTACATATAAATTGCACTGCTTAGGTGTAAGCAGGTTAAAAAGGAAAGCCTTTGCCATTTTTAACCAACTGAATTAAAAAAAACACACACACACACTTACACACACACTACACACACACACAAAAACACACATACTCCACACACAAAGACACATAGACACAGACACACAATTACACAGACATACAGACACACATACACACACTAATATATATATATATATAATAAATAAATAAATATATATATATATATATATATATATATATATATATATATATATATATATATATATATATAATCTATATATATATAAAGCAATGTATGTATGTTTGTTTGTTTGTCCTTTATGCATTACTACACCTCGCATCACATCGCCGTGAAACTTTGGGAAGTTGTTGAGAATATTCCTGGAGAGGTTTCTACGAAAAAAAAATTCAAATTCGCAGGGGTGGCGCCCCGACAGGGCGCGATTTGTTTTTTCTCTATATACGGTATATCAAAATAAAAGTCGATTTTGGTTTGACACCGTTCATCCGATAGGCATGAAACTTTGGTGAGTTCATTATAAAAGTCTAGGGAAGGGTTCTGTAAAAAATCATTTTTAATTTCACAAGGGCGGCGCCACGGGAGGGTGCGATTTTTCTCTATGTACTGTATATAAAGATAAAAGTTGATTTTTTGTTTTTTCTCCTTATGCGGTATATAAAAATAATAAAAGTGAATTGCGGTGCCACCGTTCACACGATCGCCGTGAAACTTTGGGAAGATGTTGAGAATATTCCTGGGGAGGTTTCTGCTCTAAAAACATTTTCAAATTCGTAGGGGTGTTCCCCGACAGGGCGCGATTTGTTTTCTCTCTATTTATGGTATATAAAAATAAAAGTCGATTGCGGTCTCACAACGTTCATTCGTTAACCATCAAACTCCAGGGACTTGATTATAAGACTTCAGGAAAGGGTTCTGTTAAAAAAATCATTTTTATTTTCGCAAGGGCGGCGCAACAGGAGGGTGCTATTTTCTCTATATACGGTATATAAAAATAAACGTCGGTTGCGGTTTCACGGCGTTATTCCGATCGCCATCAAACTTTGGGGAGTTGATTAGAACTTTCTTGGGAAAGTTTCTGTAAAAACAAATATTTTTTTTTTAATTTTGCAAGGGCGGCGCCACGGAATCGTGGGATTTTTCTCTATATACGGTATTTAAAAATAAAAGACGATTGCGGTTCGACACAGTTTATCCCGATGCCATAAAACTTTAGGGAGTTGATGAATACTCCCTAGAAGGTTTCTGGGGTGGGAGGGGGGAATAGGGGTGGGTGGGTGGTGGGGAAGGGGGATTTAATTTAGCATGGGCAGCCCCCCCCCCCCCCGGCAGGATACGATTTGGCGCCCTGGTCTTTCCCGTGAGCGCTATGTCGACTACGTTCGGTGTAAACAGTGTGATAGACAATGGATAGGATGGGCCGTTACAAACGCTTACTAAATTGAATCAGGCGTGCCCTCTGGCGCCCTGGTAGGGTGCGATTAGGCTGCAAATAAAAATGTCTGTTTCGGCCACTAAAGGCTCACATGAGCCGCTGAGGGCCATGTAATACGTTTTATTTTAATAATCAGAAAAATTAACCAAGGTTAGATAATTAACTGGGATGTTTCTTTTTGTCCGTAAAAAATCCCAACATTTTCGTCACTTTGCGAATGATGCAATTAGCAACTATTTTTAGATAATCCAATGAGAAATTGAGATCGAGCATTTAATAATAGACCATTAGTAACGCTAACATATTGCATCAGTCACACTGATGTTTAAAACACGTCAATTTATTTTTTTACGTGTTAGAGAAAAAATCCTGTTCACTTGTGTCACTTTAGCGCATGACGCAATCTGCATCATCGCTAACAGGATGCTATTTGGCACGATGGCGCCTGTTAGTTTTAAGGAGTCAGGGGCCGTACGCGGCCGTACGTAGAGCGCCCCTCTACATCCCTGACACATGGGCGGTCACCGA